GTATTTTTTATCCTGTGAAAGGCTTCCTGTCTTCTGCCTCATTTGCAGTTCTCTGAATGGGGACTGTCTGTTTCATCAAGTATTGAGTACAGTCTGTCTGTATCACCTAAATTGTGTTCTTTAATCATTTTTTAATAGCCCTAAACAATATATTGCTAAAACAATAATATATTCTTATAAATAAAGGTTGTTAAAAATAAATTGATCATAATAGAACATTAGTTTCTAGCAATGATACAAAAAATCTAGTAGATCATGTTTTTGTTGTTTTTTTTGCCTAACTGATAATGCTAATGCTAAAGAAAGGACATACAAATACATATCATGCTTCTGCAACTAGGGTTTCTATTATCTTGTTGATCTGAAAAATTCGCAAGTTCTTCAATCAAAGTACCTTACCTGGATTTCTTTTAACTGCAAAATATTTTGCTATTTGTCTAAAAAGACAAACACTACCATACCTGAGAAAGCAGTGACTAACAATGGCGGAGTCAGACCGTGCTGCAGAGAAATGCTGGACTGGGCGGGGAGGAGACTCGGTTTTGACCTCAGTAGATTTGAAGTCTTAGGAAAACCATTTAACCTTTCTTAGCTTCCATTCCCTTATTTGTAAAACAGTAGTCAATGTGAGCACTCATATCTAACATTCTCCAAGAGTCTTTCTGAACTGTAATTAAAACTAACAAGAAAAAAAACTTCAGATTTTATCTTTAAGTAGAACCAGAACACTAAGCAATTCAACAGATGAAAAAAATGCACTATATGTATATGTAAATATATTTATAGATGTGAAAGTTTCTATTACTACATGTGAATCACTGACCTTGCAGTAATTTCTCTTGACTATTCTCACTCTTTCCTTTTTCAAAGAGATTAATGAGATGAAGGCAGCAATTTTTACAACATTATTCTTAGTAAGGCTTTGTATTTCATTTCTGTTCTTCTCAAGAATAGACATATTTAGACTTTGCATTTGGGAAAAATGTAGGACATCATGGCAAACCAATACTTATGTTTTAAAAACTAGAAAAAAGCCTGATAAATTATAAAAATGATTTTAGGAGAGAATTGTGGGAACATGAAAATTTTAGATTATTTAAAATTCCATAGAGGGCCCTGAGCAGCGTGGCTCAGACGGTTGAGCACTGGCCTGCGCACTGAGAGGTCACTGGTTTGGTTCCTGGTCAGGGCACACACCTGGGTTGTGGGTCAGGTTCCCAGTTGGCAACATGTGAAGGGCAGCTGACTAATATTTCTCTCCCTCTCTTTCTCCCTCCCTTCCCCTCTCTCTAAAAATAAATAAATAAAATCCTTAAAAAAAAATAAATTAAAAGAAATAAAATTCCATGAAGGAAGAGAGGGTGAGATTTTCATAGGTGAGTTGAAAATCTCTGGCTCTTTTCTTCCTTAGAGGCCTTTGCTAATTTTTGGTGTGGGCTGAGGATAAGATCTGTACCAAGTGGAGGAATATGATTTGAAAAAAGAGAGACTAGTAGAGATTTTCATGGTTTCATGGGATGGTCATGATAGCTTAGGAATGAAAGGAACAAGGCTAATTTTTCAAAGGCGGATCAAATTTTATTAAAACATCAACCTAATTACCTACCTAAATCTCTGATTAAATAGAGGTCCCAAACAGAGAGGATACCCTCACTGATGGAAGCTAGTATCTATAATTTCTACAGTTCTTTTCTTAAACAAAGTTAGTATTGCAAGAAAAAATTACTTAAGCATGAAGAGGCAGAAAAATATGACCAATCACCAAAATAAAAGAAACAGATCAAGAAATGTTGGTTAGCAAATATAATTTTTAAAATACCTAAGAAAAATATGTTAAAAACTGTTTTGAAAAGAGTGAAAAAATAAGGAATGTGAATGAAATGATGGATAATTTCACCAAAATTAGAATCTATAAATAAAGAATCATGGATAGTCTGAAATTGAAAAATGCACTTTCTGAAATTATAAACTCTTTAGATGAGTTTAACAGCAGATAGACCAGAAGAGAGGAGTAGTAAACTGTTAAGACAATTAATCAGCAAATATCCATCCTGAAGCACAGTACAAACAAAAGGAGGGGACATTGTCAAAAAAAAAAAAAAAAAAGAGCAGAAGAAGACAGGAGGCAGGACAGAGCAGTAGCAACATCTAATGAGATAAAAGCCAAGCAATCTCCCCAAACTAACGAGATAGCAACCTACAATAAAGCTCACTGAACTCAAAATGGGATGAATATAAAGAAAAAACAAAACCTAGACACATGTAAAATGTGGAAAGTAAAGCAATAATGAAAATTTTTTAAGTGACAAAAGAAAAGGCACATTAATTAAAAAAGAGCAACAATATGCATTTTCAACACAAACTATGAATGCAAGAGTCAGTATAATGACATCTTTTAAGAGATGAAAGGAAATGACACTTGCCAAGCTAAAATTCTATATTGAGTAAAAACATCCTTCAAGAAAAATCTAAATAAAGCTAGTTTCAGATGCACAAAAGCTGAAAGAATTCTTTTCCAGCAGATTTGCACTATATAAAATATTAAAAGAAGTTAAGACTAAAAGAAAATGATACCAGATGAAAGGATAAAACTTCAGGAAGGGCACCGAAGTAATAAATATGCTAGTAAATATAAAACAATGATGATACTAACATTTAGGAAGTTAATAATGAAACCTTGTAAGTTAACATGCATAGGGGTAAAAATATATGATGACAATTTTTTAAAAAAGCAGAAGTGGAGGAGGAAATGGAGTTAAACTGATGTAAGATTATTGTACTGCTTGGGAAATGGTAAAAGCAGCAACTGTAAGGTAGATTGTATTACTGGTCAGTGATGCCTAATAAAACCTAATGTAACTAATGAAAAAATGTATAACTAAAAAGTAATGGAGAAAAAAAATGGAATGAAAAACACGACTAACCTAAAAGCAATCAGGAAAAGAATAAAGGAACAAAAAATGTGTGGGACAAATAGAAAACAAACAGCAAAAAAGGCAAAATTAAACTCAAACACATAAGTAGTTATATTTAATGTAACTGGACTAAGCATTACACCTAAATGGCAGAGACTATCAGACTGGATTAAAAAAATAAGACCAAGGAACCAATTATATGCTATTTGCAAGAGACACCTTGAAATATACACGGTTAAAAGTAAAAGGATGAAAAATATCACGCAAACATTTAACAAAAGCTGGAGCAGCTATATTATATCACGCAAAGTAAGAGTTCTACTTCTGTAATGACAAAATAAATCTATTAAAAACAATAACCTTAAGGCAATGGATAGCTGTCAAAAGCAGGCAGAAGCCAGAGGCGAGTGAACACATGGAAAAAGGGGACAGCTCTGAGTGAGCGTCCCTTTCTAAGGCTTTTCCGCTAAGGACAGACCACAGTCAGTTCATTAAGAAAAACTGACAGAATTAAGGGAAGAAATATTATTGTCTCATTTCTGATATCAGAAAGAAATTTTAATATCGCACTTCTAAGTATTAATGTTTGTTATAATCTTTTTGTAGATGTTCTTTACAATTTTAAAGAAGTTTCCTTCTACTCCTACTTTGAAATAAGTTTTTATCATAGAAGAGTATAATTTGTCAGTGTTCAAAGTTATCTATGAAAATTATTATATAATTTGCTACTTATTCTGATATGTGGTAAATAATTACATTATTTTGTAATATTAAAGAAAACATGCATTCCTTGAACAAACCCAATTTGGACATGTATAGTTTCCTTATTTTTTTAATTGCTTGATTCACTTACTAATTTTTTTGTTCTTTTTACATCTGAGTTTAAAAGTCATTTTTCCTATAATTTTTCATTTTGTATTTTTCTTGCTGGGTTTTAGTATCAAGGTTACGCCAGTCTCATAAAATGAATTGAAGAATGTAACATTTTACTTTTTGGGGAATACTTGGTATAAAAATTAAGTGTTTCTTCTTTAAATGTTTCATGGAATTAATGCTAAACAGAATTCCTTTACTGGAAGGCTTTTTAATTACATATTCAAGTTCTCTTAGGTTATAGGATTATTCTATTTTTTTTTCTTGTATTGCTTTCTAAAAGTTGTATTTCTAGGAATTCGTTCATTTCTCCTACGTTTTCAAGTTCATTGACCTAGCTGATGAAGATATCTTATTATTATCTGCATGATGTTCTCTGCTGGAATGCTAACTTATTTTTCAAATGATTAGACATAAGCTTTTTTATTTTCCTTTTTAGCCTCAGAAGTTTATTCTATCTTCTTATTAAAAACCACAATTATAGAAATAGCAACAACTTCAAACAGTCCATTAAGTTCAGTAACCTGTATTCCAAAATTATAGGAAAAATGGCTCTTTGGAATTAAAGCTCTCTGAGACAGGAATCACTAGTTTTTTCTTTGGCGGTGTAATCTATTTCAGGTTGATTCATTCATTAAACAAAGTTGCTCATACAAGGATACAAGAGTCCTTGCTGTCAAGAAACTTACTGTCCGGAGGAGGAGACATTCCAGTAAAGAAACAAACACAATCTCATGAGAGAAATTCTACTCTGCATGACACACATGGACACAAGATGCCATGGAAGGAGAGAGTGAGAAAGGTACCTTTACCTTTCTTAGAGGATTTAGTTCCAAGTGTTGGCAAGAACGGTGGAGTTGAGAGAGGCAGAGAGAGCATCCTGAATTGATCTGTGTCACACTAAGGAGTCTGGATAAAGTGTACGATGGGACAGCATTGACAGCATTTAAATTATATGATTTGCATTTTAGAAAGTTAGAAAGGAGAAAAATTGCAGGCATTTATAAGATTAGCAACTTCGACAATTTAGAATTAATCTAATAGAAATATTACAATCATATATATGTATTAGCAAAATGAAAACCTATTTTCTATGGAAGTTTAAAACCTAAAATTTAAAGGCCTGAGATGAGTAAGTGCAGGCATAAGTGAATAAATAACAGAGATTAAGGAGAAAAGGAAGCACAATCAAATGTTTCAGGTTTACAATACCTATAACAAGATTTTCCGTAAGGACATTCAGGTCGGTCATCAGCCTCATCTTCACAGGTGACTTGTACATCTCCAAAATCACTATCACCAGGGTGACTGAAATGTTGAAAATGGACAGGATTCTTCCTATGAGGGTTACAAATACACTGTGAGAAAAAAATAATTAATAGGATATATAAAATTTCTAGATATATTAAAAAATAATTAGTAGGTTATGGCAGGAAACCAAGCGACATACATCTGATTATTCCAGAATGTGAACTAATGTGCTACGTTGTTAAAAAACATTGTTAACCTCATTAAATATTCAGTACAGAACTCTCATGGTAACAAAATTAATTTCTGGTGACATGTGGTAGGCCATGTATGTCAATGGACAATTTGCAAATAGTATTCTACATATTAAAGCATAAGTGTTTAAGGACTTTTAAGGAACACACAGAGCGTCCTCTGCTAAGATTTAAAAAAGACCATTACCAACATTCTATAAGCTTCCACAGGTCTCCTTCCAGTCATTAAGCCCAATTTACCACCTAAAGGTAAGGACCACTATCCTATCATAAAAATAGTGTTGCTCAAATTTTTGATTGCAAGAAAAAAATTACTAAACCTCCAGAGAGCCCATGTTTATGTGGGCTTTTAACCTGTTAGAAATAAAAAATTAGAAATGCAAAAAATACATTAAAAATAATTAACCCTTTACATATTATAAATAACATGTTTTAACATAAATAACTCTACCTCCCATAAAAATATGTAGAGACACTGTTTCAAACTTTGAAAAATTCTCTAAAGTCTGGCTTAATAGAGGACATCTGGATTCTCACATCTGCTTCGGCATTTAATCACTAACAATAACAGATCGTGTAGCCTCTGGAAAACTCTACTGTATACTTATGAGTAAGGGAATGAAAGTGAAAAAGGCACATACACAAAAAAGTCTTAGTATTACTATGAAAATGGTTTTAACCTTACACATTTCCAAAAAGGTTGCTCAGGACTATAACTTCTCAGAGGTCTCTGGACCATGCTTTGAGAAGCAATGTTCTATCAGTCTTGTCTGCTCTTGAATTTAATTGGAGATATATAGTATATAGTTCTTTGAGAATGACTTTATTTTTGTATGATTATATTGTGACATGTAGTACACTTTCATTACTGTGTAACATTCAATTATATGAAGCTGCTACAATTTATTTGTCCATTTTACTATTCATAGACCTTTGGGTTCATTCAAGTCATTGGTTTTTATAAGTATAGCCATAAATATTATACCTTTGGTGTGCATGTCTATGCATTTTCTATATATGAAGAAAACTCAAAAGATTCCATAAAAAAGTTAGAATACATTAATTCAGCAAAGTTGCAGAATAAAGAAATTTAAAAATCACTTCTGTTTCTATATACTCATAATAAATGATCCCAAAAGAAATTTTTTTTTAAATATCTCATTTATAATAACATTGAAAAAATAAAACATTTAGGAGAATCTGGGAAGATGGCAGTGGAGTAGGAGAACATACTGCACACTGCCTCCCACAAACAGACTAGAAGTAAAATCAGAAAGGATAACAATCACCTAAGTTAAGCCGAAGGCTACCTGAAAAGGAGACTTTTAACGAAAAACAGCCAAAGAGTAACCCCTAGACTGGTAGGAAGGGCAGGGACATCTTAAAGGGGCTGGCCCTGCACACGCGGGTGGCAGGCTGGGGCGGTGGCGTGGCTGTGGGAGCTTCCCCCTGAGAAGAGCAAAGTCAGGACCACAGCCCAGTCTCCCAGGCAAAGAGAACCAGTGCTGAGACTGGCCCACCATGTAGCATAAAGCAGAGAAAGACTGTGAGGGCTCTCTCTGCTGGGGAGAGATGAAAACCACTGGAGACAAATCCACCATCTTTTCTTTCTTCCTTAGAGGGGCAAAGCACAGGTTTTGTGTGTTCAGCTACTCACCTTGCACCCCAGTGAAGGGAGGGTGGTGCGGATTCATGTAAGGAGAGGTGGAGTGGGAGGCACTGGGGAGAGACTTGGGGGAGCAGCTATGGGATTTTGGGGGTGGGATATCCCTGGGCTTCACAGCAGCCATCTTTCTTGAGAAGAGCTAGGCACCCCCCCCCCCCCCCCCCAAGAGCAAAATCAATTACCTTACCCAGTGGGACACCTCACCTCCACCCTCTGGAATTCCACTTGCCACACCCTCTGAAGTCCTACTTGCTCCACCCTCTACCTTTCTTCTTGTTTTTTCAGTTTGGCTGTGTCTTGGTTCTTCCTTTTCTCCCATTCTGCATCTTAACCCTTGCTCAGGAGGCAGCAACCTAAACAGACTCAGGGTCATCAGAGACTGGCTGTAGGGCACAGCCAATCCATACACCTTCCTGGGAAACAAACTGGTGCTTCCCCTCATGAGAGAGCCACAGAAACACTGTCCTACCACCCAGCAGACCCAAAATCTGGGCTTTGGAGGTCTACTAGGGGTCCTGCCCTGCAGAGTACAGGGAAATAACCCCAGAAAGATTCAGACTAGTGGTTCAATGGAGGGGGAACACAACACACCCACTATCTTCCCTGAAGTCTGACAGACACCCGCCACAGGAGATCCAGGAATCAAAGATCCTGTTTCTACCAGAAGCCCTCAGAAACCGTTGGGATTGCAACTAATCTAAGGTTGACAGCAGGCCAGAGGCAGAGACAGACAGAGGTGGCTCCTGTGCTGACTTGGGACATTTGCTGACACACCCCTGGAACCAGTGCAGATAAAAGCCAGCTTTGCAGAGCAGCTAGGTCCACCCTGCCAGGATCCAGGCCTTGAAGAATCAGCCACAAACTGTGGATCACTTGTAGTTTTGAAATGGCTGCAGAGGACCAGATGTGGACAGCATCTGACATTGACTGATACCAGACTCAGACATTAAGAGCTGTATCCAGGAGAGCTGTAAAGGGAGAAACCAGCAGGCAAGCACTAAACTCTGCTGAAACAAAACCAATTGGTTCTTTTTTCATTATTTTCACTATCTTTTCTTTTTCATAGCCTTTTTATTATTTTTTATCTATTTTTTCTTGTTTTTATTTCTGGTGCTCTAATTTTTCTTTCATATCTCCTAATTTATTCTTATCTTTGATTATTCCATTGTGCCCTTCTCTCCTTTTATTAATTTTGTTCCTTTTTCTGTGTTCCTTTTTCCTCTTTTACCTTTTGAATGCATTACTAGTATCAGGTCTTGTCTGTGTTCTCTTCTCATTATCACATTTCTTTCCTTAGGTCTTCTCATATTCTTTTTCTTTTCCCCCTTTTTCTACTATTCTGTTTCTCTTTCTGCTTTAATTATTCTTTGCTCTCTTGTCATTGATATTGCTGTTATGGCTGGGGAAGGTTGCTTGTCTTTGTGTTTTTTTCACTTTGTTCTGCCAGCACCTATACAACAGTGTGCAAGAGATGGTGGTGTTGAGCCTCTTAGTCAGTCAGCGGAGGGAATTCCCAACAGCAAACAAGCCAATAACAATCATGACCCAAATACAACAGGAGAGTCAATATAACCCATACAAAGGACATTCCTAGAACAACCAGTTCAGAAAATCAAGCAGTCTGTACCACAGGGTCCCACAGGACTCCTAACACACAAGGCCACTCCACAAGACCAAAAATCAAAGCAGATCAATATAATACATGGAAGAAAACACAAAGAGACAACTAAAATGGAGAGACAAAGAAACAACCCCCAAACAAAAGGAGGAGTCTCCAGAAAAAGTGCTAAATGAAATCGAGGCAAGCAATTTATCATAGAGTTCAAAGCAATGGTTAGAAGAATGATCAAGGAACTTAGAATTACAAGGAACTCAGTGGAGACTACATCAGTATGAAAAAGGACATAGAAACTCTGAGTAAGAACCAGTTGGAAATGAAGAATGCAATACCTGAAATAAAGACTACACTAGAAGGAACTAACAGGCTAGGGACAGAGCAGAAGATCAAGTCAGAGTTGTAAGAAAGGATAAGAGAAAAACAGCCAGTCAGAGCAACAAACTGAAAGAAGACTCAAGAAGAACGAGGACAGTTTAAAGGAGCTTAGGGACAATGTGCATCATAGGGATACCAGAAGAAGAAGAAAGGGAGCCAGAGATAGCCTGTTTGAAGAAATAGTGACATAAAACTTCCCTAATTTGGTGAAGGAGACAGTCCCAATCAAGAAGAACCCAAAGATGCCCACACCAAGACATATAACAATTAAAATGGCAAAATTTAAAGACAAAGAGAGAATCTTAAAGATGGCAATACAGAAACAGCTAGTTACTTACAAAGGAGCTCCAATAAGGCTATCAGTTGATATTTCAACAGAAACACTACAGGCCAGAAAGGACTGGCATGAAATATTCCAAGTAATGCAAAGCAAAGATCTGCAACCAAGAATACTCTGTCCAGCAAGGCTCTCATTTAAAATGGAAGGCAAAGTAAGGAGTTTCCCAGATAAAGAAAGGCTAAAGGAATACATTTCTACCAAACCAGCATTGTAAGAGATGCTAAAGGGACTGCTTTAAGAAAAAGAAATATATAGCCCTAGCTGGTGTGGCCCAGTGGATTGAGTGCGGACCTGCGAATCAAAGGGTCACCGATTCGATTTCCAGTGTAGGGCACATGCCTGGGTTGCAGGCCAGGTCCCCAGTAGGGGGCGTGTGAGATGAAACCACATATTGATGTTTCTCTCCCTTTCTTTCTCCCTCCCTTCCCTTCTCTAAAAATAAATAAAATCTTTAAAAAAGAAAAATATAGAGAGAAGAACACAGACACAAAGGCAAAAAAAAAATGGCAATGAATAAGCACCTATCAATATTAACCTTAAATGTAAATGGATTAAATGTTCCAATCAAAAGACATAGGGTAGCTGAATGGATAAGAAAACATTACCGGCAAATATGCTGTCTACAAGAGACCCACCTCAGAAGAAAAAATTTGCACAGGCTGTAAGTGAAGGGATGGAAAAAAAATATTCTATGCAAATGGACATAAAAAGAAGCTGAGGTAGCAATACTTATATCAGACAAAATTGACTTCAAAACTAAGCCCATAATAAGAGACAAAAATAGGTCACTACACGATATTTAAGGGAGCAGTTCAACAAGAGGATACAACCCATGTA